TCTTGCACACAATCTTTCGTTTACTTTCACGTGTACGCGTCAACTACACGTTTCTCTCTCTCATTCGTCACGCTTCCTCGCTCTCCCTCTCTCTTTTGCTTTCTCTCGCACTCTCTGTCCCCTATTCGTCACGCATCTACACACGCATGCACGAGCAAGCACACATGCAGACATACGTCTCTACCCCCTAGCTCCATGTCGATCTTCCTGGCTTGGTGTCGTCGTTTTGTTCAACCGGAAGTGTTGACGCGACCCTCTTCGTCCCGACTTTGAACCTAATCGAAATCGTCTGAGGATTCGCGGGGATAATAGGATTCTCCCCCTTCCCGCTACCGGTCAGTCCGTGATTTGTCCGTCATAACACAAACAATATAGACTTCAAAATGTCCAACAATGTCTATTAACATCCTGTAGCTATTCACACACTTTCGAAACCATCTTCTCCATGTCAACGTCCGTGTCGATGTCGTGGTGAACGTGGTTGCTGGCACTAGCGTTATTCATCGAGACGATGGAGTTACTGGTGGACGTGGAAAGTGCGGTCGCCGGGGGCGCCGTCGACGTCGGTGTTGTCGTTAAGGTGTCCGGCGTCCCGGACAACTCGATAGGGGATCCTGGGGACGCCAGAGGTTCTACTAGGTCCTCCAATCCTTCGGGAGTCGGCAGCTTGTTCAGCTCTTCTCTCAGCAATCTATAGTGCCTCTGCAATGTTCAAAGCGATTAGAAATGATGTCAAACGCATACTCGCAAACTGTTTCTGTCGCGTTTCTTACCCTTAAAGCTAAGGCGTTGAAAGAAAGGGTGCGACCAAAGCTCCGGTCCGTCCCGTGCATGTCCATGTCCCTTATCCAGCCTTCTAATTGTGCGACGATTTCGTGCCTCTTTATCCAAAAGTGGGTATGAATAATCTGAAACGTATTATGCTTGTTAATCGCTTTCCATCTTCGTCAGATTTTCAAACATTCTATGTTTTTCTATGTTTCTATGTATAACTGGAAATCGTTCTGTAGTACCTCCTTGAAACAAGGACACGGATTGCGAATCTGATCGAGCATCGCCCACTTCGCAGTAGCCTGACAAATGTTCGCGTTATACTCTTGACTAGATTGGGCTCCGCTCGTCGTACCTCGCGATCGTTCGTACCCTGGCTCATTAAAATATGGCTCCGATACCAGGATCAACGACTGTATCGAAACTAAGACCTGTTCGAAAAATAAGAAACATTTAAAATCAATTGTGCAACAATCTAATTTACTAACATTTTCGACAACGGTAATTACCTGAAGGAAACTACTAGTGTGTGCATTCCATTTTTCTTCTGGCCGACCGTGCCACGTGTTTAGTATGCTCAAACAGATCTTTCCATCGTTGTACAAATTAGGATTAAACCGCACTGTGTGGCGACCAGTAGTCTCTAGATTTATTAACATTGGACTGTGAGGATAGTCCGGAGGGAAATACACGTCGAACTCAAAGCATCCGTTTGCGTACGGTGTTTCCGCTGGACCCGTTATCAACACCTGGAACAAGTATTCGAACTTAGAATATTCTCACTGAACAGTACGCTATTTCTTCGGAATTAGGAGAAGCTGTGTGCCTTCGCCATTACTGGCTGGAGCTTGTCGCTTCCACTTTGTAACTCCATGTGCGACAAAGTGATGAGGATGAGAAATTACCTTCATCACATCCAGTCTGTCCGTGTCGCACCTGACGAACACGCTACTGCTATACGACAAAGGTAGAGCTGTCGATAGAGTCACAGCTTCTTGTGCCAATCTCTTGACCCTGGCAGGATGACTTCTCTCACCAGCTGTCCTCATATTAAATTCGAAGTGATACGAGACTGCGAACTTATATCCCCCCGACTCTGGATTTTCAGTGATCATCTCGTACGTATCTGCAATTGTATGCAACAGTTAAATGACACGTACCGACCGACCGTCAACAGAAAAACACCACTTTGTTCAACGAGACAGATTTTATCGAAGATCTTACCAAACTGCAAGTTCTTCATAACTTCTAAATATCGTTGCTCTATCGACCTCAGTGGCAGTTCTGGGCCCGCTGGGCTGGGTCCAGGCAAATCCTCGTCCATAGCCGTCAACCTTGCCGTAGCGTTTTGTACTATGGTAGCGCTCTCCTGAATGTCAGGGATCAAGGTAGCCAATCCTTCGTCCTGCTCGGTATCATCCGGATATTTGAACAAGGTCTTCGACTTGTTGCCTCTTGTGCGGTTGATCTTATGGACATAGATATCTACGCAGACCTTCATGCTGGACAGAAGGGACACGATGGAAGGCTCGCTGGGCTTGCTATTCTTAGGCAGCAGAAGCTGTGCCAACTGGTTCGAGCGAGCCATAGCTCTGAGTAGTTGCAACACCGCTCGGTACAAAGGAATATGCCTGGCCATGTCCAAGACAGAGTCGTTCCTCAAATACGAGGACAAAGCTGGGAGCAAACAGGACATCGCCAGCAAGTCTGGGAAGGGTGCGGGCAGCTCCCTTTGCTTCTGGCCCCCGGGTCCTATATAGCTGGCGAGAACTTGCAATAATACTGTGACGTGTTCCTCCTCGGATCTTTGGCGCAACAGCGCCTGTTCGATGTTCCACGACTGCTGGGTGGACCCGGTGCCAAACCCGGTGCCCTTCGCCCAGTACAGGTGCGAATTGTCGTCGCTGCGACCCGCTTCGCCCTGTATCCCGCCTCCCTTTTGCTCAGCATTCTCATTCTGGGTGGTTTGATGCGTAAAGATCGCCAAACAGTTTAGCAGGAGGAGCATGGCGCCGACCTCGATGGTCGTCTTGCGCAGCAGTATGCCGTCATCGGTGTTTAATGGTGTAGCGTCGAGCACCTGTCTTAATACTTGAAACGGTAGTGTTGGCAATGAAGCTGCCCACGGGGAAGTCAACACGTCCCCCCCTTCGCCATCGTCTGAGACGCCCAACGCCAACCTCAGCAGGCATTGCGCTCGTTTCCGATGTCTAAGTAGGACTTCCGCGTAGCCCGGAAGTCGCAAGAACAAGCCAAACGCTGCCAGAGAATGTGGAGGAACGTACGGAGCTAAAGACGACGCTTGCGGAGAAGAAGTGCTCGCACCCTCTTCTATGAGCTCATACATGTTATCCCCATCCTCTATCTCCACCCAGTCTGTACAGGTCTGCTCCGACGAGGGCGTCTTCTCGGCAATTGGCGGCGGTCTTCTAGAGTCCGGGTACACCAGAGGCAGATGCCTTGCCAGAATCGCCAACCCGCCACCGGCACTAAACACTCCCAAAGAACTCTCTATACTCCTATAGTTTAGTAAATCGATTTCATTTTGCTTCGTCAGGTCCTCTGTAAGGATAAAACCAGTTATATTCATCTTGAATGATACTATCTAACAAAGGCTGATGTTTGGTGTGCCTAATAATAACCTTTTGAATCTTTGTTACGCTGGCGCAATATGAGATGCAAGCAAGGCTCCGATAACGATATCCCGCTGTCTTCGGCGATAGCCAATAGCTGAGCAATTGTCAGTCTTGGTGGTAGGGGGATGTTTGGTCTAGACGCGTGTATCAAATACTGCTGATTCGTGGAACTGCTAGAATTCGGTTGTACGTTATTGCTCGTTGTTTTGGTCGTCGTACTAGATGATGCCTCTGCGGAAGAGATTTGCTGGATTAGTATCATGTGAATATAAGATTGGATGGTAAACGAGATGAGGCACAATTTACCAGAATTGGCCCTAAACTTTCTGAATGTAGGTCCACGTGCTTGTGATCTATTCGATGCTTCTTTAGCCCTTTTATCTTTCGCTGTATTTCCTGCGGCTACGCTCAGTTTGTTTACTATAATAGCCATGCCTGACTCCCAAACCTCTCTGGATCGATTGCTAGTAGATCCAGTCTCGTTACTCTTGTATGTATTTGGCAGCAATAGTAGGAACCAAGTACCTTTAATCAAATAGTAATTCGTATTAATTGTAAATGCATAAAAAGCCTTGGTTTACTTGTAAGACATAGACATACCAGACACTTGCTGTAATATGTCTGCTACAGTCGATTGGGTAGACATATACAATAATTGCTGGTAATGACCCAGCGGGTGGGCAGGGTGCGGAGACATAGAAGGCATACTGTAATTTGCTGCCCTATTTGGAACTTTCACTGGTGCTTCCGACGTCACGGATACCAGCACTTTTTCACCTTCCAGTAATAATTGCAGGATCAACCTTCTTGTGAAGCCCGAAATTCCGTGAAAGTACCATGCATCTGTGAGAAAAAAACAACAACATTAGTAATGCGCATCATTTCTTTTCATTTTTAAAAATAAAGGCAATGAAGGCTCACTAGAAGTTATTTGTTGTTGCGAGATGACATCAGTTAATAACTTAGCTAGCAATTTTTGATTCTCGAGGTGACACCAACAACACCTGGACAAGAACTTAATGATGGCACTCTCAAGTGTGGCATACGAGATGCTCGTTTTGGAACACCTTGATGAGGATACAGATGGACTCTCCACAACTCGATTGCTCAAGAGTAAGAGGAGAGGCAACCAAAACCCATGACCCTCTTTGCCAAGCCAATCACGCATCCTGCCCTCTGAGCATACCAATGTCAAGAACTCTAACACCATTGCTATGCTGTCTGGTTCCGTCAAACATAAACCATCGGAATGACTATTTGTTTGTGTAGATGTTTCGCTGGCTTTATCAGCATCACCAAAACTGGTGCCTGCAGAATTGCCTTGACAGTATTCCTCCGATGATGATTTTTTCCTTTGTTGCTGTTGCTGCTTGGACTCCTCCAAATGACAAAAATCAGTGATCGTTGAGATCAACAGAGAAGGAAACCCAGAATCGATCAACTGTTGAATACCAGGCGGGGACCGTGCTGCCGCGGCAACAGTCAACAACTGACCCTCTGTCAAGTTTAGCCATTTACACCCTGACAACTGATGACGACAAGACCATTCCTCACCGGGGAATCCAGCATTTTTATCGTCGATCAGCCCATCTCTTTCCTTCTTATCACCCTCCATAGATGCAGGGTAGTCCGTCGATGTGTTTGCTACCAGGATCCGTACTCTTTGAAGGAGCAAAGGGAACAACGTCGGCCTCACATAGCAAAAGGCGCATAGAGCGGAGTCAATTGCTTGTTTCAGAACTGAAGCTGTGTCCAAAGTCAAAGTCCATTGGTACAGAGCGTTAAAGAGCTCGTCCGTTAGCAACGCTGGCAGATCATAATTCAGGTTCTGTTGTTGATGGGCCTTCCATATGATGGAAGACACACAATGAATATAAACAGCTGGTGGACTGATGGCGTTAGGGCTGCTGCATGGTTTAGAGACTCCATTGAGTGCTGAAGCATGAAGCCAAGACAACACCGCGATCATACGAGCTTCCGTAGAAGAGTCTTGTATAGAGCAGAGCTGTTGTACCAGTTCAACAACCAGCTGTACCGTTGATGTCTCTTGCGTAGCTATTGCGCCTTGAAAGAAGGGAGTAGACCTGTTGTTCAGCAAGAGTCCAATCAATCGTAGTCCAAGTTCTCTAGAGTGCAAGCCCAATTGAAATAAGACCGTCTCCAAATTCGGTGTGAAAAAAGACGGTACTGAGAGCAAAAGAAGGTTGCAACAAGCCTCCACCAGTCCATCTACCGAGGCAGCTGAGTTTAACACCTTGGTAGCAAGATTAGGATTCAGTGCGCTTACAAACAGACATTGATGCAGCAACCGCAACCAACGCGAGCTCGTCTTTGTAAGCTGCTCCTCGTCAATCGTATCGTGATTCGTTTTTATTTCACCGAACGCTGTTGTACCCAGCAGTCTGATTTGGCTAAGACTTATGTTTGTCGAGTCATGTGGCTTGTACAACCGCACCAACACACAAGTTACTACTTCCGGCTGAGAAAGCGTGATGCATATGAATGTTAATCCTGCTGTTGGCATCGGTGGACAGACGGGGGTCAGTGGGCTGCCAGTTTCACGTGAAACTTCAATGGCTACAGCCGATGGACATGCTGAAAGCAGAAAATTCATTATGAAAAGTATGCCACTTGACATTCCCAGCTGAATACAATATAAAAGGCTCTCTCTTACTGGCTAGAGACGTGAGATGTGGCTGCAACTCGACTTTTCTTAGTAGTATAGCGCAGGGTAATGTAATCGTAAGATCCACCCACGCTTCGTCAGGATAGCAATGATACAACCAGGCGGCAGTCCTGGCTCGTTTCTGAGGAGTGGTGTTCTGTTGTATCAGAACGTCGGCTGGTTGCGCAGTGGGATTCAACCAAGATATGGTTCCTAGTGGAGCAAAATTTAGCAAGCCATCATCATGGGCCTCCAAGGTGTTTACAGATTTCTTGCTGCTCGTCGAAGCCGCTGGTACCAAGTTAGGAGCGTTTGAAAGGTGTTCCATGACTAATGCGATTACACCAGGCGATGCTGAATTATTGTTGCCTCCGCTTACTGACTTTACTAAATTCTCACAAAGCACTCTCACACCACCCATCGCTGTGAACATCGCCAAGGATACTTCATTGTCCAAGACCCACAGAATATACCAGAGAAGTGGCTCGGATAACTGCATGACACCTAACTGACGATCCAGTTCCCTTTGTCCTGACGCTGCAACATTATTTATATATCAGTATGAATCTTTCTTTCTCACTTCTGCTTAAAAAATGATTATCGGCGGCTTTTGATAGCTAAAGTATCAAATAGATAGATAGAATTAAAAAAAAATATATTCTTACAAGAAGAGAGATACTGGTAGAGAGGATTGAGGACCAAACTACGATTGCTGGCTTTCTCTGTAAGCGTGGTTAAAAGTTGGAATATGGCATCTGGGATCGAAGCCATGTCATCCAGCTCGGTTGATGCTCCTGCTCCGGTGCCCTTGCTTAAGAGCATGGCCAAAGACGAGCCAGTGCTGTGACCCAGTGCCCCCAGTAGTCGCATCATCGTAGGTTCGTGTTGTAAAACTTAAAACATTTGGAGTAATTAGTGTTTTACTGGTCGAGAATCGCGCTGGTGCTTCTCTCCTTACCTGCGTCAGCAACCCGGGGCCGCGTTTGATTAGCTTTGTTAGGTGGAGACTGTTGCATGCGAGAGGAAGATTGCTGATCTGCAACTGTGGCCTCCTCTGTTTCGGAGATATTCATGAACATCTGTGCATAGTTGACGTCGCCTGCTGAACCACGACCGCCCTTGCCGAGATCAGTTGCCGAGAACTTCTGCGAGCAAAAATATAATGTAATTGAATTGTAACAGTGCCTTTTGTACAATTAACGACACTTTGGACAGCAAGAAAACGTACACCAGTCACAGGTGTTTGAGCCAGATGCCATACTAATTTAATGAGAGCGACAATCAAGGTGTCCCATGAAACCAGACGATCTTGCCGAACATCTCCACCCAGTACGCATGCGAACAAGCCGCAAAATTCACCGGATGGATTCGCTAAATCCACTGAACCACTGCATTGTACCCCGACTACAAAAAGAAATCATTTTAATGAATTTTATTTGCTAAAACACATCTGTGAATAGCACAATTCTGAAAATTACCTCCAGAACCCCTGACATAAGTAAACACTAGCACCCCGATGCACTCGATCACGTTCATCACGGTTTCCAAGTGCATCTTGAGATAAAAGTTCAAAGTTGTTAAAAACGTGATAAATTTGTACTGTGCATCTAGAGGTCCTCTCCTTGCAGAAAGAGCTCCGCCGGGCTGTAAAAGTTGGTACACCACCCACAACAGCTGCTCCTTAAATTTAATTCTTATAAAGATGTCGGATCTCACTTTTACCCTACTGAGAAAGTCTTGTAGCGCTTGGCATACAATAGGTCCAGCCTAAAACAGTTGCAACGTTAGAAATTGTTGTTAAGATTCAGAACAGTAGTAGAAAGATTACCAATGTACCATGATATATTGTTTGTCCATGGCGTTAATGTTCAATCCACTTCCGGAAAGCAAGCGCAGAAGCATTGGACCCAAGTTACGATCCACTATGATAGCCTCTACTTCTTCAGGCTGTTTGGTCGCAAGACTCAGGCACTCCAGAGCAAGACACCAAGCTCTCAGAGAAACTCCTGGATGCCTAAAATATAATGCATTTGCCGTATTTTCCCTATAAAGATTCAACGTATTTACCATTATGCATACTTACCATATTAGAGCAGATATGAGACTGGAAATAGCAGCAGAATTCAAAGGAACAAGAGGTGTTCGCGGTGGATTAAATTGACTCGAAGAGTTAGCCGGTTCCGAAGAAGAATCCAAGTACAATGTTAACCATAATTGCAAGATCAACTCCAAGTTCGTCCCTACATTCTGTAGATATAGATCCGTGAATATCTTATCGAAACATCTGGTTAACATTAACAAACTGGAAGCTGTGGTATCCTTTAATGGTGGTTGTGGTGGAGAACGATTCGATTCTGTTGGAACCTGTTTAAGGAGATTGAAAAATTAAAAGATAATAAAAACAATGAAGAAAATTAAAATAAGTGAATCATTAACTTACATGTATTGTTGCATTTATACTTTGAGGTAAATTGTACATTCCTAAAGTGGACAATAGTCTCAACGATACTTCTATTCCCATATCCAATCCATATTCTAATCTTGCATCCATTGCCGAAGAAATGCTATAAAATAATATACCAAATAGTAGTACATTTAAAAAATGTTGAAACATCTTGTAATCTTCATGTATGCTATGTGAAAATTACCTGGAGCTCGCCAAGGTCTTGAACATTAAATTCTCTTTCTTCAGCATGTTTCTACCTCGTTCTAAGATGTCATCCAAAAAATCCTCCACTTCACTGTCATCAGACTCCATGAGAGAAGGAAGGAATCCATTAGATTTTGATGTTGAAGCAGCAGCTGCCGTGGACGCTCCTATACTATCCTGAGTATCTTCCTCAACCTCCACCGCTGTGAATTCCTCGTCATTGCCTAAAGTAACTGTTGCACCGCTCGTTCCAGCCGCGCCGGCTGACTCTTCATCAATTGGCTGACATTTCTCTGTCGCAAGAGACTCGAAACTCTCCTCTGAAGGACTTGCCTTGTACGCAGAGCACGCTTTTAAGAATAAGAAGTTCAATAAATTCGCGTACAGAAAAATGTGATCAAGGATGTAATGTGTAATATGTGTCCCAACAGCTGTATTGATTGAACGAAATCAGTCAGACATAATTTAATTGTACAACTAATACCAGACTACAGAAGTCTGTGAAAATGTAGAATCTTATACAGAAAATTCCGCAGTCTAGATATTTATGAAAAAAAGATGCTGTGTATATACCTTCAAGTATATCCTGCAAGAGACACGAGACTGCGTGAGAAGTCCAGGCAGCGTCCGAGTTACCCGTTGCCAGTTTGACTAACTTTAAGAGCTGTTCCTCGCTCATGAGCTCACACAAGCTAATTGCAGGACGTGTGGATATCACTAGCCTAGCGACTACCTATAACGCATAAATTCAACTCAAATTCAATTCGAAGAAGCGCCACTTCTACAGGAGGACACAGACACGAACGATACAAATGGTACAAAGACGATTAATGAATTGTATACTGACCTTACAGGCTAACAGGAACATGTCCACGTTAGCGGAATTGCACAAGATCAACGCGATTAGTCCTCGTGCTACTGGTAGAACGTGCTGATGAGACAGATTGGATATGTACTCGAGGTTCAAGTCCATTAATTCCGGTTTACTGGAACTGCTTCAATAAAACGGGGATGACATTATCTATAGGGTATTAGAGGAGACAATGACAAAATCACGCTTGTATTACAGACCTAGCGGTTGACTGCGACTGCGACTGCGACTGCGACTGCGACTGCGATTGCGACTGCGACTGCGACTGCGACTGTGACTGTGACTGTGACTGTGACTGTGACTGTGACTGTGACTGTGACGATTGTGACTGTGACTGTGACTGTGACTGTGACTGTGACTGTGATTGTGNACTTACCATATTAGAGCAGATATGAGACTGGAAATAGCAGCAGAATTCAAAGGAACAAGAGGTGTTCGCGGTGGATTAAATTGACTCGAAGAGTTAGCCGGTTCCGAAGAAGAATCCAAGTACAATGTTAACCATAATTGCAAGATCAACTCCAAGTTCGTCCCTACATTCTGTAGATATAGATCCGTGAATATCTTATCGAAACATCTGGTTAACATTAACAAACTGGAAGCTGTGGTATCCTTTAATGGTGGTTGTGGTGGAGAACGATTCGATTCTGTTGGAACCTGTTTAAGGAGATTGAAAAATTAAAAGATAATAAAAACAATGAAGAAAATTAAAATAAGTGAATCATTAACTTACATGTATTGTTGCATTTATACTTTGAGGTAAATTGTACATTCCTAAAGTGGACAATAGTCTCAACGATACTTCTATTCCCATATCCAATCCATATTCTAATCTTGCATCCATTGCCGAAGAAATGCTATAAAATAATATACCAAATAGTAGTACATTTAAAAAATGTTGAAACATCTTGTAATCTTCATGTATGCTATGTGAAAATTACCTGGAGCTCGCCAAGGTCTTGAACATTAAATTCTCTTTCTTCAGCATGTTTCTACCTCGTTCTAAGATGTCATCCAAAAAATCCTCCACTTCACTGTCATCAGACTCCATGAGAGAAGGAAGGAATCCATTAGATTTTGATGTTGAAGCAGCAGCTGCCGTGGACGCTCCTATACTATCCTGAGTATCTTCCTCAACCTCCACCGCTGTGAATTCCTCGTCATTGCCTAAAGTAACTGTTGCACCGCTCGTTCCAGCCGCGCCGGCTGACTCTTCATCAATTGGCTGACATTTCTCTGTCGCAAGAGACTCGAAACTCTCCTCTGAAGGACTTGCCTTGTACGCAGAGCACGCTTTTAAGAATAAGAAGTTCAATAAATTCGCGTACAGAAAAATGTGATCAAGGATGTAATGTGTAATATGTGTCCCAACAGCTGTATTGATTGAACGAAATCAGTCAGACATAATTTAATTGTACAACTAATACCAGACTACAGAAGTCTGTGAAAATGTAGAATCTTATACAGAAAATTCCGCAGTCTAGATATTTATGAAAAAAAGATGCTGTGTATATACCTTCAAGTATATCCTGCAAGAGACACGAGACTGCGTGAGAAGTCCAGGCAGCGTCCGAGTTACCCGTTGCCAGTTTGACTAACTTTAAGAGCTGTTCCTCGCTCATGAGCTCACACAAGCTAATTGCAGGACGTGTGGATATCACTAGCCTAGCGACTACCTATAACGCATAAATTCAACTCAAATTCAATTCGAAGAAGCGCCACTTCTACAGGAGGACACAGACACGAACGATACAAATGGTACAAAGACGATTAATGAATTGTATACTGACCTTACAGGCTAACAGGAACATGTCCACGTTAGCGGAATTGCACAAGATCAACGCGATTAGTCCTCGTGCTACTGGTAGAACGTGCTGATGAGACAGATTGGATATGTACTCGAGGTTCAAGTCCATTAATTCCGGTTTACTGGAACTGCTTCAATAAAACGGGGATGACATTATCTATAGGGTATTAGAGGAGACAATGACAAAATCACGCTTGTATTACAGACCTAGCGGTTGACTGCGACTGCGACTGCGACTGCGACTGCGACTGCGACTGCGACTGCGACTGCGACTGCGACTGTGACTGTGACTGTGACTGTGACTGTGACTGTGACTGTGACTGTGACGATTGTGACTGTGACTGTGACTGTGACTGTGACTGTGACTGTGATTGTGTCTGCGTCTGCGTCCGTGTAATTCGCGAAGAATGCTGCGGATCACTCTTTCGAATCATTAAAAGATCTTTGCAATGCTTGGCAGTGTAATGCTTCTTGAAGTAACGGTCTTGAGTCTTCATCGTTTCTATTTTACTGCTTAACGAGGCAGTATGCGAGGAAAGAGTCTCCCAACCCTGCAGTATAATTGTTTGTCATTTACCGTTCTTTCCCTACGATAAAACCATAAAGAGAATAAATGACTTCCCCGGCTACGCCATACCTGTGACGAGTAATGAAACTCATTTATAGCTTGTTCCAGTTCTTGAAAGCGTTGATTGTATTGCATTATACGTCTCTGTAGCTTCTTATGGTGGGTACAGGGAATAACAGAGCGATTGGCACTGCCATACTTTCTCTGCATTGCCGACTCCCCCTGTATGAACTCCCAACGTGACGAAAAACCTTTGAAAAATAATTTCACAACATCAAAACGTCTGAGCTTTCGTCAAGAATATTGTCGATAGAAACGTAAATTTATTACAGTTTCAAAAATGTGTAAAAATACCTTGGTCTTTATTTTTCTCGCCATTTCCTTCTGAACAGGGAGGCGGAATGGCCACAGTGTCCAAGCACACGGACAAAAAGAGCAGTACCCAGCCAATCAGTGTTATATCCAAACGATTAGCACTAGATGCCGGAGGAGTCGACAACGGTGCTAGTAATTTCCCTAGAGTGCGAACCATCGCGTCTATCACCGAGGATCTATTGACACCAGCGATTAGCAATTTACGTCCAAGGTACGTTAGCAGAATGAATACCCTGGAGAAACAATGAAACGATAAATTCTTAAATATATTGTCAACTGAACCACCATTGATACACTGCAGATTTGAACAGCAAGTAATAATTGAACAGAAATATTAACAGATCGTGTTGTACCTATCCTGAGGAAATATGTGCGTGGATGAGGACGAGTACAGGTTGATCAGCGTATTGGACAAGAAGTTACCCCACCAAGGTTGATGACCAGCCATGCGTGCTAAAAGTGCGACAGCGTACAACTGCAAGCGCGGGGCTGGCGTGACCACGCAAATCGAGTGGAAAAACTTTTCGCACACTGTAGGCGTAAAGACGTCACAAATGGACATCGGAATCTAAAAGAACACATAATATCCGACATAATACTAGACAACAATCGACTGCAGTACCAAACAATTCAATGAAACGCACACTTGGTACGGGGCCGACTTCGTACACAGTGTATAAAAGAATATCGAGCAATGTCTCCCCTAAAACTCGCAGTTTGTCACTAGGTGCATTCGATAGAAGCATCGATGGTACGCTCCGAGAGCCTCTCCAGGACTCCAAACGTCTCCACACGCTATGTACAACATTTAACTGATGTTGAAACATTATACATTCCTGTAACATTGACCTTCCTATTTAGTTCCGTCTTCGTTTCAGTTCATTCACCTGATGTTTACACGATATTGTTTACCTGATAAGTTGCCAATATTTTCGTAGACGGCTGCTCCTTATTTACATTGGGGATTTTATTGTAACAAAGGTAGTGCTGCATATGCATAAAATTCGTGGTCTCTGAACACAACAGTGGATTTAATAGGCTCTTTAATCGTTCGGTGGCCAAGCTGAACCTGAAAGAAGAATTGACATTGGTACGGTTGCTTTGTTTGCGAGATCAAAATTGGAAATGGCAAGCACCTGCACTGGACATCCTCTGCGAGGGCAGATAAAATGTTACACTGCGTGTCGATGGTGGATTGCACAGAGGCATTGAAATTATCAAAGGTTGCAGGAGAATTGTGCAATTCTGCGTAGTCTTCTCCTGGTAGGACCACCATGTGTCCATAGAAAAGTCCTAATGGTATTTTGCACATGGTTGGAGTCATGCCATAGCGACCTATAGTTGTAATCTAAAACCAATACAAATGTTTCTGATATCGGTGCCAACAGATTTCTCGTGAAATTCTAACGATACTGTTTATTGCTATTATACCTTAAGATATCTACACACTGGAGGCGGTTGGAGATCGCACACGACCAACGGCTTACTTGCAATATCGGTAGTGACAATTAGTCTGGTGTTATCAATGTCCTCGTTCTTAGTCCATATATCTATTGTTAACGATGCCAAGTCACTACAGGAAGGAATTATCAAGTCGGTGAGCAGTACTGGTGATCCAAAGTCCAGGATAACGAACCGACGTGCCCCAGAATGCAATCTGTCAACCACTAATGCTTGCTGCGGTGGCCAACATAGTAATCTTCCCCATGGAAATGCAACGTCGTCCCGCTGCAATGTGTATAGGCAATGGTTATTGTAATTGGTCACTTTTAAACGCAGTAAATACTAGTTGTCTACTTTGTTTCTACTTTGTCATGGAAGTAGACAGTGTGGAAAGGAATTGGATAATACGGGAATGTTGGAAAAAATTCCGTTCTACAATATTCAGAACATGGAGCGTTCTAAAAATATTGAAAATAAAAGATCAGGTAAATTCGATGTTCCATTTGGCGTAAAAGCGTTAAATTGTAACACAGGGCCGGCAATAACAGTATAGAATACAAATATTCGTGGTACATGAATATTTCTATGAAAATAAAAGCCTAGATTGCATGAGTAATTTGTTGAAAATATTTTTGATAACATCTGGGTCCACTAGATCTTATGAACAGAAACACAGTATGACACGGTATACAAAGCAGTATAACGACGTTAAAATCACACTGACGTATGATACAGAACAGTTTCAAAGCCTGTCATGCAAATTGCACTTCGTGTATCCTGCCGCGTGTTTATGTGTGTGCCAGAATTGAGCATTAAGCTATTATTAGTTTTTCATTTGATTTAGCGATTAATCTATCATACATTTACTAAATTTATTGCTTTAAGCATTAATTGCATTAAGTATTGCCCAACTCTGTACATGTAATACGTATGCGAGTGTAACTGTCAACATCGATAAAAAAAAAATCATATATAAAAATGATAGTAAACAGCGTATTAATAAAGCTATAAAAAACATCGTGATAACGACAAGAAACCTGTCGAAGTGAGAAACGGAGAGGAAGAAATAAGAAGGTACAACTTCTCATCTATGATAATCTACCTTTTTAGAATTGCTGTCTTCGACATTGTTTAGGGTAGTACCGAGATTTTGTATGGACGACTTTTCTTTCGTTAAAGCAGAATTTAATATATGCGAATTAGGCATGTCGGATTGCGTGTCATGCCACGTCTGATTGTTCACCGACATATCGTTAGCTTCGGCACAGTCTGATTGATTATCAGGCGTAAACATCAGTTGCGAAGCTGGCTTCTTTAACGCTCTTCCTGTACAGAGACTAAGCAGATCGCTTAATATAGGTGTCGACTTAGCCTGAACATCTGGTCCTAGCGATCCAGCATCCAAGTTCTACAATGGACAATGATTTCGATTCTGGATTATGTTTCTTCTGGTCGAAAAAACATCTGTACAACAATAAACGACCACGGCGAACCAATTCTCTCGTTGGTCGTGAATCAAGGAAAAAAGAAAACTGTACACAACCTGCCTATTCTATCTTAACTATGTGTCACGATTTCAGAGAAACAATCATTTGATCTCTGTGTTCAGATCGATCATGCTCCAAGGTACATGTCGTTCCGATTAAACAGTCTAACAGAAGATAGAGCAAAGGAGAGAAACAGAAAGAATGGAAGAAATCTTGATGCACTAATAAAGAAAAATAACAACGCTCGGTTCGTCTTGTCTAAGGAAACTTACGTAATTCTGGTGAATAGTTTTGATATCAGGTACGCCGTTATTGTTTGTCACTGTGCTATCGTACAGAGGAGCTCCCATATTATTAATACTCATACACGGATCTATTTTCTCCATTTTGGTACCGTTCGACACAGCGTGACAAGAAAAATGGAGCGGCTCAACCTGAAAATTTATGCTCATGAAAAATTGTTCATCATTTACGAGTCAACTAATAAAGGAAGATCTCCAACCCGCGAATTAAAAACGCTAGGAAATCGTAAGAACACGCGCGTATATAAAACACATTTACGTACATATTACAATGAGATATTGGGTTGGAGATTCTCTTTTAGTCTAACATCGATGCGTTACCTCTAACAGTCCCTTCATACTATGATTTGTACATAAAGCCTTTAGTTTACTAGGCATCACCAGTTCGCTAGCTGGATGTGTAGGCAGCGTGAGTAGGTCCCTCAAATCAATAGCATCTTGAGAAAACATGGTGCTGGACGATGCAGCCAATGTCACTGTCTGATCGTTAGCTGCTGCTGACACATATGCGGATGGCAGCGGACTATACTTTGGAGGCATTGGTGGGTCCAAGTCGAACAGCTCCGTTTCAAAAGGTGTACTGTACAAACCAAACCTGCGAAACAATACGAGTCAAGTTATCTTTAACGTGTATAATATGTTGAAACATCGAATTATACCTTGTTGCAAGCAATAAATGATAAGGATTCGCTCGATTCGCTATTTCTGTTGCGATTTGCTGTATTAAAGTGACACACTGTTGAGCGATGCTATGATCTCTATCCAATGGTAAGATTCTAGTGATCAACAGCTGAAGCCACCTTAATGAACCAGCCCATTGAACCTCTATGATTGACGGTAACAACTTCACCAACACAGAAACTAAAGTCTCATCGAAAAAATTAAAAGGCGGATGTTCTAAATTATAAAAATCCCTGAAAGCAATTTGTTAATATTATAGTTACATTTATGCTTATATTCTTGCGTTATTATTATCGTGTCGTTAACATACCTGCTGCAAAGCATAATTAATTTTATACACTTGCGTGCTACGCTTCGACCAGCATGTAAAAGACAAGTTTTTAGTAAACTAGGTAACCACGCTTGGACAGAACGGATTGTTTTTAATTCGAACGATATTATTTTCGCGTTGTTGTGGCTACTGCGAAGCCTCGTCAATCTGATAGTCGTTATCCATATTAAAATGTCTAAAGCAAGGGACTGCGTAACAGGCGACCTGCGAAACGTCCAGTTAAACATTCTGTAACATATTTCTATACAACAAAAGTTAAATTCTTATCACAAAAAATGTCCTACTTGTCAGCTGTTTCCAAACAAGCTACTCTTAATAGATTCTCGAAACATGCCTTCGATTCTAACATAGCACAACGCTCGGCTTTCTCATTTGGTACATTAGTCGGTTGCATCGTTCTGACGGTGATAGCTATTTCCTGGATCCATTCGCATGCTTGAAATCATTACACAAATGTTAATTACAAATAGTTTGCATCGATTGCAAGAAACAGGAACCAAATAGGTAAAACATTTACCAATATCACAATCAAAGTTTTTGCTGTTCGCGTCTTCAGTAAATCGTTCTGAAGTGTCTTTAGAGTGAAAAGGTCGCACAATATCGAATCTCCTCAACTTCTTTGAAGTAGAAGGTTTATTGGCTGATACGTTAGTCTTCGGTTTCATCGTCACCTATAATTAACCTACATCTTTCACTGGCCCTACACTGCAGATTTAATTATAACAATGTATTAACTCTTACGCCATCCTTTGATGGATCAGCCAAAGTCTTAATATGAACAAGAAGAGTTCTGGCTTTGGTTCGGAACAGTTTGGGACTGGTAAGCGTGACACAGCCGGATCGACACGTTAAATCCATGTACCGATGCAACTCAATGGGCCCGCATAAAATTTCCGCATTGTGCTGCCTTTGATACTCCTCCGTCACCACAGGATTCTCCGTCTTTTGCTCGTTACCTATGTTAAAGTCTATTCTCTCGTCCACCGAAGTCAATGGCATCTTGTGGTTGCCAATTCTCCTCACGTTTTGCTTTAGTAGAGTTATTTGAATAATTGGTAATTCCTGGCGATTGGAACATACACTAAACTTCACATCGACGTGGCCAACATTTCCTGCCGCGCTTCGAGGAAGGGTCAACTCGAATACATACTCATCCCATGTGGGCCTATAAATTAATATTAATATGATTAACCCTCGGAGAGAACCCATTTGAATTCTAATTTTCTCCCATACCACTCATCGTGCAAACGCCAAATTCTCGTATGGTGTTGCTGCGGGTGTCGACGCTGCTTTTTACCCTGCATCATTTCGTGCCAGCAAGGTGGAACAGTAGCACCATACGCAGGAGACTCACGGTCAAACCTCGTCAATTCGTACAAAGTGCGTAAATCTGAATGTGAGAAGTTTGGTTTGTGCGCGATCAAGGAGTCCCTGAAAACGTACAGTATCTCACACTAAAATTACCCTGCAACACATTGTGCTTTATTATTGCTTTTATTCTTACTGAAAACCGGACGACGTGGACGTGCTGGGAATTATTTTCTTATTGCAGAGCTCCTCTGTTGTCATCATAGTAACATCATCAATACCCTCTCTGTCCTCTATAGAATCTTCCTCATCGGTGGTGATGTAGAAATGGAGCTCACCATCGCTCGTGCATGCGCATAACCTTTCCAAACCTGGACAGTAAAGGTGCATTAATGGATTAATTTTTGAATGAACAATTCCTTAAAATGAGGCATCCAATACAATGCAAACTTACTGTTGCAATAAGCTGCAGAAATGAATTTCTTTCCCTCGACTCTTGCTTCAGTGACAGTCTTCAGTGATGATAAGTTTAATACTCTGATCACGCCATCCTTGCAGATTAATACCACCTGCCCAACAGGTTCCACAATCGAATTAGTGTTAGGACCTTTGCTAGTGTTCTTGCCATACAGTGGATGTCTGCTCTTTCTTTGAAGAGGTAGGAAGACATGTTCCAGAGGTGCTTCTTCTGCTAATAGTTCTCGCCTGGCTACTGGCTCCGAGCATATTTTGATGACTGGTCCAGAAAAGTCCAGGGCATACACAAGTAATATAACGTTAGCATTGGCCGCTTCCTCGTGTACTTCACCGTTGATTAATCTACTGGACTGTGTATCATGGTCCCAATACATATAGCCCTTTTGTGGGAAAAATTCATTGTCTTCGTCGACATCCATCTGATTGTTATTTGAACCTGAACAATCTGCACTGTCTGTTGTAGGACACATAGCCACATAGACGTGCCTTCCATCGACAGATGGTCCAACATACGTGATCTTGACGTTATCAGGGGCTTCGATGGGCAACGTTTTTATAACAACTGGCTCAGTCTTCGTTATCTTCAGGATGTCCAGGCTCTTTTTGTTCACCGCCGCTAAGTCGGACGTCGATGCGAAATGTTCTGGTCCACTGATAGGATTGAAGTTCGCATCGAACGAGCTTGATGTAGGTGGTACTGTAATACCAATGGGGTTTGAGTAAATTCCATTGGAGGACGACGCGGTCAGTGCGGGCGCTGAAAAGATACCATCAAACTGCGAACCAACTACTAGATCTGAATCTACATCCTCTATCACTGGAACTTCGTACAAAAATTTGCCGAGCAAGAAATCTTGATAGGGATTCTCTTGACGTTCTCCATTCGAACTGGCGCTAGTTCCGGTTACTGACAGTGTCTTCTTCGCTTTCGAGTCCTTTGCATTATCTTCCTTTATCGGTTGCGTGGTGGTAGTTTTGTGGTGGAAATCATAAAGTACCAAATAGTGCAGTTTCGACGGTGTATACCTATCACCTGCCACCTTCATTATGTCTAAAGTGTCACTGGCAGCACTATTTACACTGTTCATCGCACGAACGAGGGACGACGAGGAAGCCAGATGCGTCGAAGCAGCCCACACATTTTCTAAAGTCCTTAACTGCGATGGGTTACTGACTGTCACTGTAACAGCACATATTACACATGGCCTAATTTTAGAGTCCGATGGTTCCGCAGTCAGAAGCATCGAACCAGAGGTTTTTGCATCACTGTTCTGCGAATTAGGAGGTCCTACTAGAGACAGCGCTGTGATCTGCACTTTATGAGATGCCGGATACTTGTATTCGGTCAGGGAATCCGTTTCTGTATTGAGCGTTCTTAAATACGAAGACAAGGATCTGCTAGAACCAAACTGTATGCTTTCTTTGTTGTTTATTTCCTGTTCAATCGGAGCCACAAAAAACAATACTTCCTTCTGCAAAAACCACAATATTTGTAACAGCATTGTGAAACTGAACATTCAGAGATTAGCGTTTGACACCAAGTATTTACCTTCACTTGTTTTTTTACATTCCATATTATTACAGAACCATTACTGAAAGAAGCTGTAGCCACCAGACCATTGACATTAGTAGTGCTAATCACGTCTATTCCGACACCAGTCTCACGTGCAGGAGCGGTAGCAAGGGTAACAGACAAAGGAACGTTTTGCGTGTACTCCCCTTTGATGAAGGGGCACACGGGAGAGTGGCGCTCATGTTCTGACCAAGGTTCATCCTTTGGTTCCCAGCAAACTAAACAAACATTACACGTGAAGCACATTACCCTATCATCACCTGTTCCATTTGGGTGGTGGTATAAACCGAACTGAGCCATTTGGTCGGGTAGAGCCCATCTAGAATAAATAATATAGATAAAAAATATGTATTAAACTGACGCGTAATACCGATCGTTAAAGCTTCATACTCGTAGTTTATATGCGGCCATTTTGAGAAAGTTTCCCTGCGAACTTCCTCACTAAACATTAACGCTCTATCGGCAAGACTCCCTTCTAATGCCAGACCTGGTAATAGGCCATTTAATCGTTCATTGATAGCAGAAGCAATTGGCAACGCGGGTATATGTTTGTTCAATCTCTTCAATTCCGCTACTAGCGCCAAACACACGAGCTTCAAGGAACCATGCGGTAGTTCCAGACATACTGTATTCCACTATTTTGAAATCAAACAAAAATCAAATTAGGTACAAATCAATTTAAAACGTTTTTTTCTTTCTGTTGCTTACTTTTTGGGCTTTGATCCCTTTCTTTTGACTTGCTTCCACACTAAAAGTTTTACTTGTTAATTCTTGGATCACTTCTTGTACGTGATCTGCACCTGGTAGCTCTACACATTGCAGACACTGACATAACAAATTAGCTTCAGAAAACATTAACTCTAGCTTTACAACATGTTCACTTCGAGAAACGGTCGATTGTAAAAGAGTGTCCAAAAGGAGTATACCATTGTATTCACCACGTACTCCAATTCCTCTCCCATCTGTATATAATACCTTATCTACACCATTTGATAAATATGTACCTTGAAGTTTCCCATGTGATTTTCCTGTAGAAATACAAATTCTTATTTTAATGTTTGCTTTTATAACTGACTCTTTGGTCTTTATACGATGGATCAAAGTCTCTACATTAACTTCTTCACATAGTCGGACACTTATTCATGTAAAACAATAATGGATGCTATCTGGTGAAAACATTGAAATAGTTGCAAGAGTTTGATTGACTTTGAGGAAAGAGGAAGTGGTGGAATTAGTATTTTATGATTGATAAAAAAGCGAATCGATTGTTTTATTATGAAAACACTTGAATAAAAAAAAAATGGAAACTTTAGTCACGCCTGACGTTTTATACACGTACACGACCTTGACCATGAGGCGTAATTGGGTCCGATGCGAAGAAATCATCCATGAAATTCGTGACAAAACGACTTGTTATTACCTGATGATTGATATTCGTAAAACAAAGATACACCGCGATGCTTACCCGACAATGAACTCTTTTGCAATATTTCTCCTGAGTTGACATCAACTACGTATACTTGCGCACTGCCAGTGGTGATTAGTAACACATTTAGATTAGCATGATAGATTATATTTTTGCACTCGATGTCCACGTTTAAATAACCGTCTTCCTTCAATAACCACGGGTCATCATCAGCCATTTTGCTCATACGAATTACGATTCTCAAAAAATTTGTCTAATGCGCGAACATCACAAAAAAACATGGCGTACTCATCACCGCCATCTTTGAGTAGAACGTCAGCAAATCGCTGTGAAGCTAGTTAATAACTGTCGAACGATTACAAGTTCGACGAGAATCTATCGATATATCGTTTCTTCGAATTTATATCACAAGATCACGGAATATGTACCCTACACAGAGTACATACTGTGATAAATATTTCTATAGGCGCTAAAATAAAAATGCCTTACCGTTTCAAAGGAAAAGGAAGAGGCATTTATTTTGAATTATTCACTTTTTTCCCGTATAGTAGAACTATAATAATATGTGCGAACTCTGTACACAGTACTAAAATAGTATATAACTCAACGCAACCCGTGCATGTCAATGGACTATGATATATGACCATTATGACTTTTGTCGAAGTGATAATAAAGAACAAAATAGGGGTGTAGTACAATTATTCGACATGGATGATATTCTTTATTATCACTTTGACGAAAATATGATAATTCAGAAATTATTAGATTGAAAATAATCGTGATGGTGCTGCTCATCGATTTCATACCATAAATTGCCATAATTACGCGTCTAAATATTTATTGTATTTTTAAAAAATAGCCTGTTTATGGACCATGATACGCTATCATCAAATAGTGGTAAGCGCCTGTACTAAAACTGTCTTCTCAAAAGAATTTCTATATAGAATTGCATGATTTCCAGCAATTTTAGAATTAGAAGAACTTTTTGAAAGTGTAGGAGTCTTGACGGTACTCTCATGAATCTATATTATGCAGAAATATGTATACGCTTATGGTGAAATTTCGAAACCTTTGTTTTACTTACCCCTTTACTTTTAAAGGGGTCCGTTCAGCACCAATCCATGTAGTGACAAAATGCTGAAGCTTGTAGACAAAGTACCGACTGCAAATAGTTTCTTAGAAGCTGAAGATGGTACCATTATACATTTCCAGCTCAATCGGTTAAATTTGTCTAACAGTTTGAGCGTTTTGCTATTTGTGTCATGGCGCTGTACAGACTCTTGAACGAAACGCGTCAAATTTAACATGTTATATGATAGAAATACATGTTTAATAAATGCACGTTATTTCATGGACTCTATATTACTGAAAAAATCATTTTAACAAGAGTGTATTTCCATACGAATTTTGTATCTCTTGCGAGCTTAAATTATGATATATACACAATCATATACATAATAATATATACTGTAACATTTATTAAATCTATACATTTTCATTAATATAATTTACTGAACTCCTGTTCTGAGCAATTTAGATGCTCTGGATAACTTCATCTCTTCTAGTAAAGCTTGAACATTCTCTTCTCGCTGTTTCATAAATTCTTCATGTTCTACAGGGTCTAAAGTACGTACTATTTGAATACCACAGCTGCGGGCTACACCAATAAGCATCTTACAAATATTTTCCAAAGTCATTAATGCTTGGGGTGGATCTTGTGACTTGATACAAGCAATTTCATATAAGTGTTTGAATGTTATTTTACCAGCTACTTCACCTGAAATATGTATATAATTACAAAAGATGTTTAAAGGTCCCAGTTTGTGTAATATTTACCTTTCACCATTTGTCCTTTCTCTATTCCAGCTGCCTGCATTAAGAAATACGTAGCTGGAGGACTGTGCATGACTAAGTCAAAGGAACCGTCTGCTTTTACTTTGACTCTACATGGGATAGGTATGCCTTGTTTCATATCTTCAGTTCTTTTATTGAACTCGTTGATAAAATTTTGTACATTTATATTTCTCTGAAAATAAAAATATTATTTTGTTAATCAACAAATATCTTTACGCGTATTTAATGTCGCATATAATGCTCTTTTAACCTGTCCAAGCTGTGATCCAAGAGGTGGCTTGCTACTTGCCAATCCCGCAGGAATGGTCACCCGTAGTGGCGAAGAATGAACTACTTTGGTTGTAACTTTTTTCATAACTCTACCCTTCGCAAGTGTCTTCGACATTCCCTTCGACATTGCCTTCGACATTTTTATTAACTTTTACAAATCCCTTTCAAACAATATCACCTCTTCACAACAACAACAACTTTTCTCTCCTTACAGTAAACTAAATTTATTAAGTTGGCCAAACTTACTTTATTCTTAGCCGAAATACAGAATGCAATAAAGAAACACAAATAAAATGCATTTTAGATATGTCTATGTTTTTCCACTAATTGATATTTTATCAAGGCTTTTCTTCAATTAACGTCAATTTTAGAAATTACGTTCAATTTCACATCTATTTCTATTGGTAATACTGCAAGCATTACAATTCTGCTTCACCATAGTAAGCATTTTTATCCCCACCATTTTAATACGCATCCAGGTCCGCGCAGTTACTTTGGAAAGAGAAGGGGTGATGATCGAGAATAAGAACGGGTGAATAAGGACGAATTTTCCTGCTTGCATAAATTTAAGGCCCCGGAAAAGATCGTTATTATTAAATAGAGTCAAACAGGCCTAGCACGTGCCAAGGCTCGGACAGAAAAAGTTTCACCAGTGAACACAAGTCGAATGTCGCGCCACGTGTTTTAGATGGAGCACCAGGCATATGAATGTGAATATGAATATGTAAAGTGAGACAAGCTACATTGGTCGTTGATGTGAATTGTTTCGCTTGCGGTTGTGCTGATGTCGTTCTTTCTTGCTAACTCGCCACTTCCTCTCTTTGCCTAGATCTGTGAGGGCAGCACTATTTAGTTGTGAACCGTCAACCAATCAGAGGAGAAGCAGTTTCTCTACCTGCTTCATAATTCCAAGCCGGTTGCCCCCGCCTTGGATTACTATGGCGAGGCACTATATGGTGAAGCAGAATCTTTTACTATGGTGAGGCATGACTGTACATATGAAAAAATTGCATGGACAGGGGAAGCTATCCTAGCCTAGTAAATTTAGATTAAGATTTAATTTTGATAATGAACATAACCTAAAAAAAGATTCAAACTTGAACAGCCATAATTCTCAAATGAAAGTATGTTCATTTTACTGTACAAATAAATTTATTTGTAAATTTATGCAAGCTTATTTAAATTGTATTTTTGTTCAGATTCGATATATTTTGTAGTATGGATATTAGACAAACTGTAGGATTTTATGATTTATGTGTAAATGATCCAGCGAGTGATAGACACAATTTATATCTTATTTTGTCAAAATTGCATGAATTGGGATTTAAAACAGTAGCACTGAATACTAATTTAGATGAAGGTGCCGTTGTACCGGATAAAAAGAAAAAAAAGAAAAATGATGAAAGCGAATCATTCCAGAATATTACATTAAACACATTTGATATAGAAAGCATAAGAGAGAAGTTTGATGGAAAGTTAAAAATTTTTAATCGGATTACATTTCATTGCTCCGATCCAGCAAAGACACATATATTAAATCATGCTCAAAGTTTAAAGAAATACGATTTATATGCTTTTATTCCAAAAACACAAAATGCATTACAGTTTGCATGTACCCAATTAAATTGTGATATAATTACTTTGAAAGCATCTTCTACAACTTTTAAATTGAACAAAAAATTATATAAACAAGCTATTGAAAGAGGAGTACATTTTGAAATTCAATATACTGATCTAATAAATACAGAATCTACAAAACTTACTATACATTATTCACATCTGTTTCATACATATGGAAAAAGTAAGGTATGTTAATATTGCTATCGAGCAATTTATATTTTATTATAATTAAAAATACTTTTATTAACATGAATATTATTAAATATATTTCACAATTTTATAAGTTATATACTTATGTAAAATTTGTTAATTATTTAAAATAATTATAATTTTATATTACCTCCTTGCAGAATGT